ACACAATGTCTTATCTCCCATCCCTAGAACGAGCAACTGCAATTGGGAATAAGACTTCATAGTATCGAAGGTCCAGCTACACAGGTCAGGAATGACAAATGGTCTTGGCCAGCTCTCAGCCTCTGCCTTTACAAAGTCTGACACCTGTTGCAGTCACGAATTGCACTGCTAAAGAGGTAATCAAGCAAACCAAAGCCAGGATAAAAGGGATTATGTCTCCACTCACCCACACAGAAAGAAGGCTGTCTCCAACGGCAGAAGGAAGTTCTTTCCATGGGCCCTGGAGCGCCCTCCCCACTTGTGGGCACCATGGTTCAAGTCTGCCCCAGTGATCCTCTCCTGTATAAACCTCCAGGTCCAGATTATGGAAACCAGGAATCTCATCCAGCTGCTCAAATAACAAAGAAGTTAGCGGGATCTTCTGGTATGAATAATTGTAACTGCAGAGATCTATTTAGCCTTAACCCTTTGCTATAAACCTATAGAGAAACAAGGAAGCAACCCAGGTAAAAGCAAGACAATGGTCAGTGGTCAACTTCCCAAGGTAGGTTTCAGCTTCCACATTAACTAATCAGCTTGCAGAGCTTGCAGCACCTTCTACATCCAGCCTCTAGACAAAGGGCAACTATCATCCACCAACCGATTTTATCCTCTTCTGGAAGAATCAGAAAGGAGAAATGTCTTCACTCCATTTCTCCTACCCTCCTCAAGATCACCTCCTCCCCAAACCCCTCACTTCTGTTGTCCTCTCTAAGAAATATGCTTTATCCACTCCAATGGGCAGGACAGTAGTAACTGAGACAGGAGAATGACCCTCCTCCTTGCTTTAGGGAAGTTATCAGTTCCACCCTCCTCGGGAAGCTCTGTAGTCTCTGAGAAGAGGCTCACAGACACCATCACTCTACCTAAGCCAGTTAGGTCTTCTGCTGGTGCCAGCCTCTTTTTTCCCCACCAATGAGTTGGTACAAAGCCATTCCGTGTTCCATGCCAAACCAGTTATTCGCAACACTCATCAAAATCCACCTCCGTCCACTAACTCAGCACTCCTGCTTTCCTAGCATAGCCAACCTTCCTAACACCCTGACATCCTGGTCTTCAGCTTCACTATTTACATCACATGAGAGATTTAGGTTTTGAAAGCCCAGTTCCCTCTGAAGAAAGTATGCAGATGATTCATCTTCTCTGAAAAAACTACCCATCCCAGGCCTTAATATCCATGCCAAAAAGCTCCTGAGATGGGGCTCGGAGAGGACAGAGTGGGGGAGTTCTGTTACATGGGAGAGCACTGTCTCAGTTTCCAAATGAAAAAGATGACACTCTGTTCTTGGGGCACTGCTTTGCCGGGGTGTCCTGCAGAAACCAAGGAAGCTTCCGTCCTGGAGCCACTGTGGACACAGCCTTGGATCACCGTGGAGCCTCAGACCACACTGACTCCTCCCTGTCTCCGTGTCTAACCCCCTCTCACATAGAGAGATCTGACCGACCACAGACATCCCCTCTGGCCTCCCGAGTGGTTTCTTCAGCACAGCTTCCAGAGCCAAATTAAACGTTCACTCTATGTCTATAGACAAAAAGGGTTTTGACTAAACTCTGTGTTTTAGAGAGGGAGTTAAATGCTGTTAACTTTTTAGGGGTGGGTGAGAGGGATGACAAATAACAACTTGTCTGAATGTTTTACATTTCTCCCCACTGCCTCAGGAAGGTTCACAACGAGGTCATCCATGATAAGGAGTAGACCTCCCAGCCGGACTGTCCCTCAGCCCCCAGAGGACACTCCACAGAGATATGCTAACTGGACTTGGAGACTGACTCACACTCCAGAGAAAAGCGTGGAGCAGGGGTGCAGGGAGTGGGGCCAAGGTCCCAGGGACAGGATGTCTAGGAGAGAGATTGGGGTGAGGGTAATCCAATGCAATTACTGTGGCAGCTCAACATTGAAGGGAGGGGGAAGAAAGATGTGCAGCAGAGATGGTAAGCTCCAAAATTTGAGGCTTCAGCTGCTGGAAAGTCTTAGGGGCAGAGATAATAAGACATAACAGACTTTGAGGGTTTACTACACACTAGACGCTCTATGCATTTACTTACTTATTATCTCTTATTTATTACTTCATGTAACTCTTATAACAAACTTATGAAAACAGAAACCCTCACATAGCCATTTTACAGATGAGAAAAGTGACATTTTTGAGAGGATAGCTAAGGATAGCTAGTAAGTAAAGGAGCTGGGACCTAAATCAAAGCCTTTCTAACCAGAGTACACACTCTTTTCTTTTTCCAGGGTAATTTTTTTTAATTTTTATTTTAAGTTCTGGGATACATGTACAGAAGGTACAGGTTTGTTACATAGGTATATGTGTGCCATAGTGGTTTGCTGCACTTATCAACCTGTCATCTAGGTTTTAAGCCCTGCATTCATTAGCTATTTGTCCTGATGCTCTCCCTCCCCTCCCCACACCAGACAGGCCTTGGTGTGTGATGTTCCCCGCCCTGTGTCCATGTGTTCTCATTGTTCAGCTCCCACTTATGCGTGAGAACATGTTGTGTTTGGTTTTCTATTCCTGTGTTAGTTTGCTGAGGATGATGGCTTCCAGCTTCATCCATATCCCTGCAAAGAACATGATCTCATTCCTTCTTACGGCTGCATAGTATTCCATGGTATATATACCATATTTTCTTTATCCAGTCTATCATCGATGGGCATTTGGGTTGGTTCTATGTCTTTGCTATTGTAAATAGGAGTGCACACTCTTGACCACTACACTGGAGCACCAGGCCCTAGAAATCGTGACTATATTCATTAACCAATTAGAAACTAGTATGTGGAGGGTATTGGGAGCAGGTTTAAGACTCTGAAAGATAGTCTGGCTTCATTTTAACCAGGGAATTAATCATCCATTCCATGCAGCACCATTTTCAGAAAAGGCATTCCCTGGCGCTCACCCTAAGTGTTTGTATTCTATGGCTAGATAGGCCAGTGTATAACCACTCCTTTTTTCAACACTTCTTCCAGCAAAAACACAAAAGAGCATGGTGAGCTGAGCTTATACTCCTTACCAGAGGCCTCTGATGTCCCATCTGTTAGTAGGATACCAATCCATGGCTCCTCACTTTCTAGGAGTCTCAGAGGAGACAGTGGACCCTGGAGACACCCAGGACACAAAACCAGAGGAAGATGAAGAAGTTCCACTCACCTCTCCCCTCATTCTTGTCCAGAAATTTGCTCTATCTTCCCCATTTTTTGCCCTGTCCAAATTACCCACCACAATTAGACAAAAGGCCTCAAGAGGTCTGCAGAGGGGCAGGATGAGGGCAGGGGCCAGCTTTGATCCTTCAGTTGATTGTTTTGTGATTACTTTAGACTTGGTCTAGTCAGGAAGAATCCGTCACTCTCAGCAGGCAGTGGGTGGGGAGAGGTACCAGCAGACTTAGAAGTATATACGGAATGTATTAAACCGTGGTGCAAAAAGAAAGGCCTGAGAGGTTAAACCAAAGAGGGAGATGCAGTTGCACAAAGTTAGGGGATTGAAAGAGTCCCCAAGGTACCAGAAGGTCCAACATAGTAAGAATTTTAAGAGGTGATAAAGGTAACTTGCTGTCAGAAGAGGCAGATATTACTAAAGAAACAAGTGAAATTGATTCCTTTCTCACGCCACCATAAAGGTGAATGGCTACCAGATGGTCAGACAGAAATACCTGTCCACAGGCTGCTGGAGAGAAAAATAAATGCAAGAAGAAATCAGATCCTCCTCTGAGCAGGTGAGCAGGAAATTAAAATATCTGTACACTGACCACAAAGCAAGACCACACATGGTCGTCAAGAGGCTGTTCAGAAGACAGCAGGAGTGGAAGTTAGCGTCTATCCTGTCTGCCGCCCCACACGCAGCGAGCCTAGTCACAAACCTCCCAGTATCAGAGGGAAAAGCCTTTGGAGAAATCCCAGCAGAACCAACAGGAATAAAGATGGGACAGCAGAGACCCAGGCCACTGTGGGAAAACCAAGCTCACATCCTAGAAGAGTCGTTGGTCCAAGTAACAATTCCTTGAGCACGTGCTATGTGCCAGGTCCTCAGCCGGGAGCTTTTTCAGTGTTTTTCTAAGTGTAGGCAGTTTCTGAAATGGCTCTCAGTGATTCTTGCCTCCCATGTAATCCCTTCCTCTAAGTGTGGGCAGGACTTAGGGACTTGGTTCTAATGAATAGAATATGGTAAGAGTGATGGGGCGTCACTTACTCCCATCAAAAAATCTCCCTGGATTTGTGCTTCATAGACTCCCATCTCTCCACTCCAGCATGTCTTTCAGATTCTGGGCATCGGTGAGTAAATCTTCTTCCTCTCTTTGAATAATCATCTTTTCTGTGGGCTTGTTGCTACATTTCTCCCAGAAGACACCCACATACACACACACACAGCATGCACGCACATCATTACACTAGTTGGAGGAGGGAGCTCAGCCTCCTCTTGCCCTTGCCATTGTCCTGCTCCTTCCCAATCAATCTGCCAACCACAAATTAGCATTACACAGGCATTTACAGTGTAGCCTCCAGGGATAGATAGAAGCTGCTAATCCTTAAGAAGGAGCGCTGGTACAATAGCAAGTGGCCTGCAGCCTCATCTCCGCTCACGGGGGTGTTCCTGTGCAGCAGCATCTTGCTCCTTTGTGAGCTGGCCAAGTCAACCACAGATGGTGGAGTCACTGGGCCTTGGGCAAAGAGGAGACACTGGAAATCTAAGGAGCACCAAACTTTGCAAATGCCTGCATGACACGCTGTTCGCTGTTCGATGACTCTATTTATCCTCAGCAGCTGATCCTCTTGGAACGGATTCCTTCTCAGAGCTTCCAGCCTGGTCTTTTGTCAGTATACCCTTCCATTTTCCATTTCTACTGGTTAACATTAATGAATGGCTCCAACTGGGACCAATCCAGGGCATGAAATCCCTGGGGGGGGGCAAGTCTGTAGTTCCCACCTGCTCCACCCTCTCAGCAACTTGGATTAACAAAGCTGGGGTTTGTTTTGTTTTACTTTTCTTAAGGGATTGATTTGGCCCTCTGAAGTATGATTGAAATTCCTGATCCCAAAGGAAGGCAGCCCTGGCTGGGTTCCCAGGGTCGTTTCTATCCCCAGGCATGGTCTTCAGAGCCCCCAGGGGCCTCTGATTGCAACTCTGCCTGCTGAAATCCCAAGGGCTGGCTCCTGCAGCAGCCTCCTCTGAGGCTTCCTGCTCAGCTCCTGGGCCCTTATCCTGCAGCTGGGTCTGGAAACCAGAGGAGCTTGCAAGAGGCAAAGCCTCTTATCACAAACATTTCCTGCCTACTCCCGCCTGACCCCGCATACCATAGCCTTTCCCTGGCTAGTTGGGCCACCAACGCAGCCCTCACACAAAAGACTTGAAAGGCAGGGTCCCCAGACTTGTCTCTACTCCAGATTCTTCTCCATCCACACTGTCTCCTTTCTCTAGGGAGCTCACAGGCTCTTCCAGGCCACCCAAACGGTTCAGTCGCTGAAAAACATGGAAGGAATTCAGGTGGAACCTGCAAGAAAGAAGACAAAAGGCAGGTAGGATTTCTAGTTCAAATAGAAGATGTGACTCACAGCTGGAGTTGGGCCCACCTCCCTGAGGACCCCACTGTGCTATCTCTGACCAAGAGATGGAGACAGAGTTGAGAGAAAGGCCTGCACACCTGTGTGTGTGTGTGCATCTCCCTGGCACCCCCATGTTGTGGCCTCCCCATGTTGTGCTGCAAGTGTGGCTGAAGCCATATGGACTGTTGATGGTATGTGCTGAAGGTCTAGGAGACAGGGCCAGAGGGTCTAGCCAGCCCAACCCAGCCGTGCTCAGCAGGTCACTAAATTCCACAGCCCCTGTCCCCTCCCCACACCTGGGGCACCCTAGTCCCACCCCTTCCCCCGGCCTACACTGGCCTTCCCTCTGCCTCCTGCCCCCAGCTCACTGTGTGGTCCAAGCCCTCTGCCACAAGAAGAACCAGGGAGGGAGGGATGGGCCTGCGTGTTTACAGTCAAGCATAACTGAGCCTTTATTTTAAATAAATAAAACTTTTAGCTAGTTTTTATTTTCTCTTTCTTTCCAAAAGCAGTTTTGTCCCTCCTCCTCCTCCTCCTCCTCATCATCATCATGGCTGAGCCTTTATCTGTGGGGCCACCCAGGGAGGGGCTGTGGGAGGATGGAGGAACAGAGGCCAGACTGACCCTGATGCTTCATGTCTTCTCAGGCCGTGTGAAGTTCTCTCTCTCTGTCTGTCTCTCTCTCTCATCCTCACAGAGCCTCAAGGTTATTAAGAATTCAGGGATGTCCAGGTCTGAGGAATAGAGACTAAACAGGAAGCCCAGGCTTCATCGTCAGCATATTGTCCATCTGTTCCCCCCAATCACAGGGTTGCCCACCCCCCATATGAAATTGCCATCCATCTGTCTTCCTCTTTGGTCTGTCATCTCTCTGTCTCCCCTGTTGGACCCTCATCCATCTGCCCCTCCCATGGGACACCGTCTCTCAAGGTCTCTTTTGGGTTGTCATAAATCCGCCTTCCCCATGGGATGTTCCATCCGCCTGTTACCCCATCGACCTATCAGTCTATCCGATCCCCTTGATCACCCTTTTTTGTCCATCTGTCTCCTCCCATAGGACTTACTTTTGCCCATCTGTCTCCCCGAATGGGGCCAGCAATGGTGAGTCTCTGAGGCATGGAAACAGTTGGGATTCTGTTCTGGTTTTGATCCCAGCAACCACAATAGTAGCTACCATCAATCAAGTGTCTATGTGCCATACACTCTACATACATTATTCCCTTTTGCCCTCCAACAGCCCCGTGTGTGCTTATTTCCCTGTTTTACCAGAAGGAAACAGAGGCTCAGAAGGGTTAAGTGTCTTGCCCAAGGTCACACAGCTCCTAACGGGAGACACAGGGTAAAAACCGGCTCTGCCAGTATGGAGTAGGGGTGAGGACACAGTCTTCTTACTCCACCCCCAGAATGTAAGACTCCCCTTCCCCTGGCCTCCCTGCACATTTAATTTACACTTTGCTGCTGGATGTTTTCAGACTGATGAAGTTTCCTCCCTGCCCTGGCTCTGCACAAAAAAAGTGAGGGAAGAAAAGCAGCCAGATGTGAGAGCATTTTGAAGGTCTTTTTGGGGGGATGGAGAGTGATGTTAAATAAACATCCAATGGTATTCTTTCTGCAAAACGATCCATTTTCATGGCACCCAGGAGTTCGTCCAAGGGTCTCTGGGTCACTGGGGAAAAGTATTCCGTGTGTTTTGGCTCCATATTCTTCCATTGGCCACAAAGAGCTAATTCTTCCAATTAATGAAATCAGCACCACTGATGGAGATGTACTGACAAATTATTTTCAAGATGAATACATTCACACCCATGGTGGGACTGATTGGCCTGAAGGATTTGGAGGCTACAGAATGAAGGTCCCCCTGCCCACCGAAGACACTGAGGTCATTCATGGTGGCCGGGATGTTGGCCACCACCTCAAGGGACGCCTCTCTCCACTGGAGCCATGGAGACTGGACTGGGTTGTCTGTGTGGAAGGGCTGCCTATCAATGGGCTTCTGTATGGCCTCAGCAGGTCCCCAGCACCCCCCACCCCCTACTGCCCCAGCCAAGTCCCCTTCAGGGCCTGGTCTGAAGGGCCTATTCAGCATTTAGGACTCCCTGATGGGAAGTGAAAGAGAGACAGACAGATGCTTCCGTGGAGCTGGGGAATAGCTAGAAGCCTGGAGACAGGAAGGGAAGCTTGAAGCCACCAGGGAGGAGCCCAGAGAGAAGAAAAAAGGCAGGCCAGAGGTCCTATAGGATAAGAAAGAGAAGAGGGGAGGAGGGGAGGCTGTGAGGGGGAAGAGAGAGGGTGGGAGAACCAGAGGAGGGGGAGGAGGCCGGAAGGAGGCCTCCAGGCCGAGGGAGAGATCCCAGTTGGGAGACAGACCAGAGCCAGAAAGCAGTGTGGGATTTTTTAAGCCACAGATTTAATTTCCTGATGATATTTTTTTTCAGGCTGATATTCACAGCATTTTTCATTCCCCAAGCAGATCTACCAGTCATGAAAAAGTGATCCAGAGTGAGCTGAGTGATGGGCCCAGTTTGAACCTGAACAGACCCATCAGGATAGCCCAAAGTCAAGGCAACATGTCCTCTCTTTTTCTAACCACTAGAGACTAAGGACAAATTTTGCTTCTGGCTGGCCTTGGAGGAGGGGAAAAGAACAGTTTCTAGGCAGCGCTGGTGAATAAGTGACAATGCAACTTCAAGGGCTAAAAGATCTCTGTTAATCATCTCTTTGGTTTCTGTTTTCCTGTGTGGGCCCTGACTGAATCAGTATTCTGAGCTTTGAGAGTTATAAGTTAGGAGCTAAAGAAACCAAAGCCCAACTTTCTCCAGGGCATCTTATACCACTACCACCAAGCCATCTTTCTAAAGCCTTATTTTCCTGCTTAAAAATCCATCTGTGCAGCCCTATGCTTACCAAATAAAGTCTACACCCTTCAGCCAGAAAAGCAAGGCCCTCTAGAACCCAGCTGCTCCAAGTGTGGTCCAAGACCAGCTGCCTTGGCATCACCAGGGGCCACGCCACGGACCTGCTGAATCACCAGGCAACCCTTGTGCGGTGACAGCACGAGAAGCCCTGCTCCTTACTGCTTCTGACCCACTCCAGATAATCTCCTGCTGCTGCCATGGAGGAGGGCTACTTCCGCAGCAAACTGGAAGTGTAAAAGTCTTCAAATATACCTTTTGCTTATCCAGTTCTGAGTGCTGGTTCCTGACTTTCCTTTATCTTAAAGATGCTTCCCCTTGTACCCCCTTGAGGAAATCTCACCCACATTTAAGACCCAACTCAAATGCCATCTCTTCCAAGGATCCTTCCCTTCTTACTGTCCCCTTTCCTTGCCAGAGGTTAGAACTTCCAAGGCAGTTTGTTTGAATCTCCCTTGGAGTGCTTTCTACCTTCTGTCTTGCATTTTGATTACTCATGTACTTATCAAGGGGCAGCATTGTGTAGTGTTTTGCAGGGTTTCCTGGGTTCAAATCCTTGTCCCATGGCTTCCTAACAATAGCACCAAACAAGTGCTTAATCTCTTTGGACCTCAGTCTTCTCATCTGTAAAATGGGAGTAATAATGATACCTCCTCATAGAGTTGTTGCAAGGATTTTTAAAATATATTTATTGAATACCTATGTGCCAAGCAATGGAGATACAAATGTGACCAAAACCATATAGTTCTGTTCTCATAGTGGATTACAGTGCTTGTACAGTGTTTAAAACACAGCGAGTGCTCAATACATTTTAGCTATTATTATGCCTTATCACATTCACCATACCCTGGGCATTTGTGTAAGGCAGGGAGCATATCTACAAAGATACATAGGTGTTATAGCCCCAATATCTAACACAGAGCTTGGCATATAGTGTGCACTCAAAAAGTGATTGTCAACTGAGATGACCCAAAGAACAATGTTCTTAATTGCACAGGAAATGAGAGCTGTCATCCCTAAAGCTCAGTGCTTACCCAACATGGCAGTCTTCCCAAGGTTGACTGTTTTGTGCCCCTTTTCCTAGAACCATAATTTGTTTAATCAATGATTGCTGTTATTTTTCTAATAATCGTTGGTTAAAAGTTCTGTTTCCTCAGTGTGGTTTCCATGCTGTCCTCTCATTGGTTTCTTTCTGTGTCCCACTCCCTGCTTCTCCTCTGAAAGCTCAATGTTATGTTTTGGGGTGGGTTTTTAGGGGAGCAAGTGAAATATTTCCACTGGACGTAGTATTTATTTTATTTTTAACTTCTTTGTATAACTTAATCAATTGTCTCATTAACATTCTTTTGACTCCCCCAAAAAATGGTTTCTTAAAATTCTTATTCTGTGTTTTCATCTCCAGGGGAACACTTGGGCTGGGTTTTCTACCAAGAATGACACAATTCTTTCCATAGCTACATAGAGGTGGAATTTGAAAACCAAGAGAGTTGTATTGGTCCAGCTCTATTGCCTTAGTCCTACGCCCCAAAGAATTCCTCATACACACAAGACCCCAACTCTCCCACTGGCCATGTTTCGCAATGCTGCCTCTATTAAAAATGTTCTCTTTCTGGTTAAATCCTAATGGAAAGTGAAATAAATACCATTTAAAAAGCTCTTTCAAGATGAGGGTCATTCCAGAGTCCAGTTGCCTTGAATTACAATGATCCTTGACATATCACTATTTCCTTCAGACTCAGTTATTGTATTTTTTTTTTTATTTCAATCAACAAGCATTTTAAATTTCCTTTCACATTTCCTTGTGGTGACCTGGTTTTGTTTATTTCTCCTTTCATTTTTTCAAGATGGGGTCTCACTCTGTCACCCAGACTGGAGTACAGTGGCGCAATCAGAGCTCACTGCAGCCTTCAATCCTGAGGTCAAGCGATCCTCCCACCTCAGCCACTCAAGTAGCTGGGATTGCAGGTGCAGACCACCATGCCTGCTTCTGGTTTGGTTTAGAGGCAATACAAATATCATATGTCTTCTATAGTTCTATCCCATCTACAATTTGCATGTCTCAATCTTCTTTTTTGTTATCCACAGGCAAAATATTATTCAGTGCAAGCTCCTTCCACCGTGATAGGAAAAGATTTTCCCCTGTATTGCCTTAGCTTTAAGAAAGGGAGAAAAAGACAACTAAAGTCACTTGTTTGGGATTTCAAGGAACTGGGAAAAAATGGAACCTCTGGCAAGTGGGAATGTGATCTACATGGGAGAATCTCTGAGAAGACACCTGCTCTTCCATTCGTCTTTTTCTCTGAGGCTCCTGGAGCTGCAGCCTCATAGGAGTGACTCCTTGTTGGAAACTGGGGCAAAAAAAGTACAGCACTGGTAAGGACAGAGGGCTCTGTCTGTGGAAAGGGGACAATTGGTGAACTTTCGAGCCCAGGGGCAGGGGCAAGGTTTCCAATGTGAGCTAGACGTCTGGAAACTCAATCTCACCTAGAGTATCGGTTACCTCACAGACTCAAACCCTCTCCTGCATAAAGGGTGGCAGTAGCAGGGCGGGCCTCTGACATGAAACCCTCTGTTCACTTCTTAATTAACTCTAAGAAATGTGCATCAGAATCTCTTAGAAAGGGAAATTGTTCTGCCCGGTAGAAGGACAGTAGTGTCATCAAGATAGGAGTTTGAGTACGACAAAAATATCAAGAACTTCCCATGTCTGCCTTGGCCCAGAGAATTAGACATTAGTGGGGTCACTCTTTAGATCATGGGACCATTGCTCCCTGCCAAATTTCTGCTCAGGGCTTGTTTTCTAAAGAGAATCATAAGAGTTACCCTTGCCCTGCCTACTGTTTTGATATCAAATGTCCTTGGTACTCGAGCATGAAAATATGAGGAACTCTCAGATCCTGATTCTACACACTTTGGCAATTCCAGATAAGCACCTGAATTACAGAATCCTATTTAACATCTGGGTGTGAATTCTCTCCCCATTCACTCTGAGCCTGCCACCAGACTAGCCCTCTCTAAGCCTTCATTCACGTATTCTCCATCAGCATTTAGTATAGACCTATCAGTATGCTTGACACTACACTAGGGACTTGAGGTACAAACAGGCCCAAGACATGATCTATGACCTCAAAGGGTTTATTTTCTAGCAGAGAATACAAATGTATGGATTAATAATAGCAGCTACTGTTTATTAAGCCCTTATGAAATGCTTTTTCTTTTAGTGACAACATCTCACTAAGATACCCAAGCTGGAGAGCAATGACCATACAAAGGTGTGATCATAGTTCACTATACCCTCAAACTGCTTGGCTCAAGCAACCCTCCTGTGTCAGCCTCTTGAGTAGCTGGGACTACAGGCACACACCACTGCACCCTGCATATGATATGCTTTTGATAAACATTGAGCTAAATAGTTGTAGTAGACAGCCTCTAAAATAGCCCACAATGATCTTCTCCTGAAATTCACATGCTTGTGTAGTGCCCTTCCACGTTGACTAGGGCTGGTATAAATGATAGGATCTATGGAAACAACAGTACATGACTTCTGAGACCAGGACATAAATGACAATGCGGCTTCCACCTTGCTCTCTCTTGGATCATTCACTCTAGGGGACTCCAGATGCCATGTGGTGAAGATACTCAGGAAGCTCTATCCTGTGGGAAGGTCCACATGGAGAGGAACTGAGGCTGCCCACCAATAGCCAGCGAGGAATTGAAACCTTCTGCCCATAGCCATGTGACTGAGTCATCTTGGAAACAGTACCTCCAGCCACAGACAAGCCTTCAGATAACTGTAGTCCCATCTAACATCACGACTGCATCCTCACGAGGCAGAACCACCCAGCTAAGCTGCTCCCAAATTCCTGACCCACAGACAGAAAACAGTGTTTATTATTGGTTTAAGCCACTAGATTTTAGGGTAATTTGCCATGCAGCAATAGGTAACTAATACAGAGCTTTGTGTTCATTTTCTATTGACTCTTCAGGCCAGTCCTAGTGGGTATTTATTATTATCCCAACTTTACAAATGAGGACACTGAGATTTAGAAAGGTTATCGCAAGAGGCAAAGTCACAGCTAAATAGCTAAGTCTTCTGAACTTCAAACTCTGTGTCTTTAGCCTCTATGTAATAAAATGATTTTGGCGCAAATGCAGAAGTCTATACAGGGAACAAAAGGTCACAGTGGGAGTAGTGAACTCTACCTGGGAAGTCTGGAACTGGAGGGGAGGAGGAGGCAGGGAAGACTTGTTATAGGATATCAGACTTGCAATGAAAAGGAAGGATGAGCAGATGTTCACCAGGTGGGCAGCAAGGAAAGGGATTCCAGATGAAGCAGCATGAGCAGGGGCGTGGAGGCACCAAACAGCCTGTGTTCAGAACCTCTGAAGTTTCCAGACCTGGAAGAACTGAGGCCTTGTGGCTTGTACATAAGGGGATACTCTTGGTTCTTGCCCAAGGTCTATTCTTGCAGTCACAGGACAGAACCCTGTGCCCCCCAAATAATTAGCACATTTCCTACAAACTAGTGTCCCAATCTCTTCTCTTGATTAACTTAAATCCCCATTCACTCCCCATTTCTTTCCTAGGTCAGTTCTTTTTTTTTTTTTTTTTGAGATGGAGTCTCACTCTGTTGCCAGGCTAGAGTACAATGGCGTGATTCAGCTCACTGCAACCTCTGCCTCCTGGGTTCAAGCGATTCTTCTGCCTTAGTCTCCCAAATAGCTGGGACTACAGGCACGTGCCACCACACCCAGCTAATTTTTGTATTTTTAGTAGAGACAGGGTTTCACCATGTTGGCCAGGTTGGTCTCGATCTCTTGACCTTGTGATCCGCCCACCTTGGCCTCCCAAAGTGCTGGAATTACAGGGATGAGCCACCGTGCCTGGCCAGTCAGTCTCTTTTAAAGACCCAGCTCCCTGGCATCCCCATCATGCATACCACTGTTCTTCTTGGCAGGCAACTCTTGCTCCTTACAAAAATGTGGTTATGATGCTTATATTTGAATTCATAACATCTCTTTTCTACTGCAAAATACCATGTAAACTTTACTTTCTTCTTTAGCAGGGTCGCAAGAATGGCAAATTAGGGAGATTCATGGGACCAAGTGTATTGGATTATAGAAAGGTGCTTTTAACTTTTATTAGGTTGGTGTAAAAGTAATTGCGGTTTTTGTCATTACTTTCTTCGAAAATAAACAACTACTTTTGCACCAACCTAATACCTTTTCTCATAGCAGCCTTCTGGATCCTTGGTGGATTATAAATTAGAGACGCACAGTACGAGGAATTAGTAGCTGGTTTAATAACAGTATCCACACCCCAAAAATATTGACCATGGGTTTATGTCAAGGTCTAGAGGACAATCTATATTGGCATGACCAACGGTTCTGCCCTCAGCCCTCTCCCAGGCAACATCTTTTAAACTAATAACTTGAATGAAGATATAGAAAGTAGGTTTATCAAATTACCTAACGGTTAAAACAGGTAGGTAGCAAGCCCATGAGATGGCAGAACTAAAACTGTCTCCAAAAAGGCTAACATGAGTCAAGTCTTACCAAGACATCTTTACTTGACATGTAAAGTCCTTCACTTGAGTTCCAAAAGTAACTGCACAGATACACAATGAAGATTTCTGACTCGGGGTAACTGTAAAAGGGAAGAACATTAAAGAGTTTTAGCTCTAGTTGAATGGAAGCGAAGACACAGCCTGTGCTAGGGGAGAGGAGGAGGGACAGTTGGATTCTGAAGGTTTACTGCTGAGATTCGACAGCCTCACCACCAACCCCAGGCTGTATTTAGTAACTCGCACTCTACTCCATTAAATCTGTTTGGGTTTCCAGCCCCCTCCCCGTGGCCCTCACCCCAGACTGAGCCAGGAGCCCTTAGAAGGTAATGAGAACACTGAGAGCTTGGAGTCTGGGAAGAGCTTGGAAACGAGAGCGCTCAGAGCCTCTCCCTGCGCGGCCCTATCCCTGCTGATAAGGCTGAGAGCAAAGCTGGCTGACAAGTGATTGGAAACAGGAGTTCCCAAACCCTTTAACTCTTTCCTACCCTGCTCGTGTGCTGGAGTCTCCATCTCCCTTGGCTTCCCCCTCTCTGTATCAGGGCTCTCTTCTCCCTCTGCCAGGCTTTCCATCTACTCCGCCTTTTGTCCTGATGAGTACTGAATGCTGTCCTTCTGCCTGAAAAGCAGTCACTTTCACCACCAAAGATGCAGGCTGCCCAGACAAGTCAACCAGGGAGTCTCCCTCTGGTCCAGACCCTACCAAGCTCACTTAAACAACCACACCTGTGCTTGTCCAGCGCTGCTGTTCAGCAAGCAGCAGGAACCTACCAGGGGAATGTTGGTCCTGTTTGGTGTTTGGGGTTTCTGGGAGCGGAGACCCCAAGGCAAGTCACAGAAACCTAAGCCCAGAGCCATTCTCAGCTGCCCCTGCTGGCTGGGGAACCCTATCAAAGGACTTCAGGGGTCACCCTCTTAAGCCAGACCTGACTTTGCTAGGTGATCCTAAAGGCCTTCCATTCACTTAGCTATTGCCTGCTTCGTGGACAGACCTCTTACAGGCATGGATGACGAGGGGTCTGTCTGTGACAGTGGCCAGCATGACTGAAGCTAAGAGGTAAGCTTCCCTCCTTACCCTGGGGATGGGCATTAAGGAAAAGCCAGGCTTAAGAGCCACAGTAATTAAGTGTAAAAGAAGCTTCCTTCAGTAGAATGGAATTCAGATAAACTGCCATTATCATGCAAAGCAGCTTTGCACCTAAAAGCCCTTACTCAAACAGGCAGTTTAATTAAATCCCTAATCTCCTCTGGCCTATTTGACCCCTTCTCTCCTCCTCTTATCCCCTTACCACCCCCACCCCCTGCCTCAACCACACCCTTACCTTCAAGATTCCATTTAAAATACCCCACCTGTAAGTGTGCAAAATCTACCCAAAAAAGGTAGGTCTGGGGTCCTCTTTAGAGTTTGGTCGCTGTGTCTTAGGGGTTAGCTCCCTGAGGCTCAGACAGCTCTGACTTGGGTGCTGGATGCTGGCAGCAAGAGTGAGCATGATGGTGGTGATTCCCACAATGGCCGTGGTCAAATGAAGTGAGGGGAGTCAGCATCACACTCCCACCCACTGATTCCGGCTCAGCCCCAGGAGGCTGATGCCCATTTATAACCCACCCCGTGCCATGAAAAGTCTGCAGTCTCCCTCTCCACAGTAAGTGTGAGGCAGCCCTAACAGGCTTGGATGTTAGGACCCTGCTGTTAAACCAGGAGGGACAGGGATGGAGAAATTGACCTGTCTGTGGGCATCTCCATTTCTGAGGCCACACTGGTGGCTGCTCTGAAGCCTAGGAGGGATGCTAAACCTGGTAGTGAGATTTGCAGGGAGAAGCCTGCAGCTATGATCTGGAGTAGACTACCTGCTGTCGGTAGGGGGAGAGGTTAAGAGAAGGAAGACTGGAATGGGGTGGGAGGGTGACGAGGCTGAAGTGCACTGATAAAGAAAAACCTAATAGTACCTTCTGACATCTGCAAAGTGCTTTATAAGTTTGTGCCTTCGTTCAGGAAAAGAAAGAAAGAAAATCATGTATAGAGTATGCCAGGCACCATGGCCTGCTTCTCTCTTCAATTTGAACCTTGTAAAGTAAATCTCCCTCCCTCCCCACTCCACACACAGGAGAAAAAACTGCGATGCAAGGAGGTGAAGTGACTTTCCCAGTGGCACACAGCTCATGACTGGCAGAGCGAGGATTCAAACACTGGCCTGCCTTCCTGAAAATCGACGCTCTTTCTGCTAAACCACAGCTCACCCACAAGGATTACAATGTTGGAGCGGGGATTAACCACCCAAGAATACTCATGGCATCGTGGGCCAAACTCCATCTCTTCTCCTTCATGCAGCAAGAAAGTTTCCATCTCAAAACAAGCCATTTCCTCTGAGCAGCGGTCTCGGCAAGGATGAGAAAATCAGCCCTCAGCCCTGTGGATGCAGGCCAAGGGAGCTGGGCTTGTGGAGGGCTTCTTGGGGTTCAAACCCAGGAGAATAAAGAGTCCCAGAGGAAACTTTTCTTTGCAGGAAAGAAGTGTCCGGGGCCGTGGTGGGGGAGGGGGCATCTGTAAGTCATATAACAAACACCAGACCTCTCCATTTTATACCTCATTCCTTTGGTGGGGGCAAGCAGTGGAGCCATCTCTATTTGGGAAACAGTGAAACTCAAATCACCATGAACCCTGCACTTTCTCTGTTAATCGTGTGAACTTCACTGTGCCTGGAGAATGCATGGACCTGCATTAGACGAAGTTATATTTCTGGAATATTACATATATATCTGTGCAATATATCAATTATATGGAATATATATAGAATATATTACATATAATAATATATGCGAATAACATATATTCCTATACATTATTATATATAATATAATCCTAATATATATTATAATGTGTATTATCTTCTATTTCCTTGTATTGTGGGTTTTCTTTGCAAAGAGTAGATACCCTTTCGGGAGGTTCCAATAAATCTTATGAATAAATGACTGAAGCTGGCAGTGTTTGAGGCGGCACAATACCCAGCCCCTGAGGGAGCTCCTAAGCTTTTGATTCTCCGGCCCTGAGCTGGTTCTCCCCAACCGGCCCTGTCAATTTGTGGCCACCTCGCTCCAAGCCAGGTATTTCCAAAGGTCATCGACTTGGAATAACAGGTGCTACTGTTTTGACTTCAGCAAGACAGCCTGGGACCAAAGAATCCTCCATAGCTTCAGGGCTGATGTGGGTGGGTTAAGAAAGTTGGATTTTGGATGAGATCTGTTACAGGGTCCTTTGTCTCTCTTATAGCAAAGAAAACTGAGAAGAATTTTAAAAGGCTGCCTTGGTCTCCAGAATCCCTCTGGAAGCAGATGGCATGTCAACAGGTTCCAGGGCAGGCTTCAGAGGCCCCAGACCTGGGAGCCTTATTGGAATGTAATTAACCTAAGTGCTGGCTGTTAGGATGAAAAGGCAGGAATGCAATTATGGAAGGAGCATGAGGTGAGCTTTCATTGATTAACCTGTCCTGTCTGATTCCATTCCCTACTGAGGTGATTTTGGGGGCCCTCTGAGGGTTGCCCTGTGCCCTCAGGGTTATGAGAAAGGAAAACAATCACTGCAGAAAGTGAATACCTAAAACAGAGTTCAGGAGGCCTGTGTGGACCCCCAAAATTGCCTGGAAAATGCACTTGTGCAAAATGCAAAGTGTACATTTTCGAGGAAGAGGCTGGACACTCTTATCACTTGCTTGAAGGGGTCTGCAGCCCCCAAAAGGTTAAGAATCTCTGTTCTAGAGGAGCGAAAGCTCAGCACAGTTGCTAGAGTAGGACCTCAGGAAAAGTTCCTTCAGTTCTCAACTTCAAATGGCCATCATCCATCTGAGTTCAGTTCTGGTTCTACCACTTACCAGCAAGTCATTTAGCCTCTCTGCACCTCAGTTTCATCTGTAAAATGAGGGACATCCCAGGGTTCATAAGATAATTGAATGATGTGCAAATACAAAACATTTTTATTTTAGACAGAGTCTCGCTCTGTCACCCAGGCTGGACTGCAGTGGCACGATCTCGGCTCACTGCAACCTCTGCCTCCTGGGTTCAAGCGATTCTCCTGCTTCAGCTTCCTGAGTAGCTGGGATTATAGGTGCCTGCCACCACGCCTGGCTAAGTTTTGTATTTTTAGTAGAGACGGGTTTCACTGTGTTGGCCAGGCTGGTCTCGAACTTCTGATATTAGGTGATCTGCCCGTCTTGGCTTCCCAAAGCTGGGATTACAGGCGTGAGCCACCACGCTGGTCAGAATGCAAAACTCTTTTTCTCCGTCTTGCTCTGTCACCAGGCTGGAGTGCAATGGCATGATCTTGGCTCGCTGCAACCTCCACCTCCCAGGTTCAAGTGATTCTCCCACCTCAGCCTCTTGAGTAGCTGGGATTACAGGTGCCCGCCACCAGGTGTGGCTAATTTTGGTATTTTTAGTAGAGATGGGGTTTCACCATGTTGGCCAGGCTGGTCGCGAACTCTTGACCTCAGGTGATCTGCCCACCTCAGCCTCCCAAAGTGCTGGGATTACAGGCATGAGCCACCTTGCCTAGCCAAAACTCTTAACCCAACATCCAGCTCTTGGTAAGCACTCAATAAATGGAAGCCATTTTGATTATGATTATCAAAGTCTAGAATATAAAGTGGACTGTGTACATGTACTCTTTAGGAGCAGTCTTTTGGCCCCAAACTCCATTCTATGGGAATCCCCAGGTAAGATGCTCCTCCAAAATGAAGTGGAGCCGTGTGACCCAGGGTCTTTAAACATTGCTTTCTCAAACCCTCCCCCAGTAGGGTACTTCTCCCCTAGAGGCACAGGGATCTGGCCACACTGGGAGACAGGCTTCTGGAAGTGGGGGCACATCAAGCATCTGGGTGGTACCAGTGCCTGGGCCTGACCTGGAGTCTTCACCAGCCTGCCCCTTTTGGGGAAGCTTCTGACAATTTTGATTACCAAAATCTTCCTGCCTTTTGGGATAATACATTCAAATGCTCCATTGAGACAGACTTCTGTATCTTTACAGGCCCTAGAATGAGACCAACCCAAGGCCCAGCATCTGCAGAATGTCCAAGGTGGAACCAGGAAGGAAAAACTAAACCACTCCTTTTCCCCTCTTCCCAACACACCCTTCTCTCCTCCCAGATCCTTGGAGCTCTCCTCCCTCAGAACCTACAAGCTGCCCAGTGGTCTTCCAGACCAGCCCCAATTGCTTCCAGCCTCCTTCCTCCAGCACATCCCTGCAGCCTTGGGCCACTGATCCTATGCCAAAGCCTCCCCCACCTCTGGGCTCAGAAGCAGGTGTAATCCCAACTCCAGCAGGGAACACCAGAGGGGAAGGTCACGGGAGAATCTTTAATCTTCAGTTCCCAGGAGAGAAGATACCCAAAGAACAGGGAGCAGGAGCCAGCTCCAGGCCATCCATTTGTTTATTCATCAATCATTCATTTATGCATTAATCATTCATTCCCCCCACCCATCAATCACTCATCTGCTTATTTATTCATTCAGTGTGTTCATACCTTGTCCTTGCTTTGGTTACCGCAGATGTTGGTCCTCTCCTGCTTTGATCTGTCCCCTGTTTCTCTGGCAGTTGCACAGCAGAAGCCTTCTCATGTCCCTTGTTGGGTACTTGGCTGAGAGGCTGTCTCCCTCTCAGAGGTGCCTGAGGAAAGCCAAAGGGACAGTGCAGAGCTGTCTGCTGCCTGCAATTTCCCTTCCATTGCAAAATCCAGTCTTCTGGTCCATGGGTCAGTGGGAGAGATTGGGAGGGGCTGCAGAGGGGTTTCTAGGGCCAATCAAGGAATAATGGTCTGGACATCCTCACCGTGTGCGAGTTCTGGCTGTTTAAAAAAAAAAAAGAAAACACAATATGCTGATCCTTCTGGGAGAAAGGTGACTGTAGGAGACTCTAAGCCTCTGTGCCTGGTTCTGAGGCCTGAGCTCCGATCTTTGAGGGGGTTCGGGGAACATGGTATGGGAAAACCTGGGGCTGGAGTTTCAGAGACCTAAGCTGTGAACCTTCTGACAGGTCTCCCATCTTCCATCCTTCCATCTACTTGGCCCCCATAAAGTCTGCTCTCAGCCAGCAGCCAGAGATCCTTTAGTAAAAGACCATGTCCTGCCTCCGCTCAAAACCCTGCCCTGACTTTCAGTTCTCTCAGAGCAAAAGCCAAGGCCCTACTTGATGGGGTCCCCCTCATCTCCCACTCATTCCCTCCATTCAGCCCCCACTGGCCCCATCCTTCCTGAACTCACCAGCCACACTCCTACCTTAGGGCTTTGGCTATAGTTGTTTCTTCTGAAACAGGCTTGACCTGGATGACATGCTTGAAAATGACTCACTTTCTCACTTCCTTCAAGTCTTTGCTCAATTGAAACCTTCCCCATGAGCCTACCATGACCCATCCTATTAAAAATTGCAAAGCACACAGGCGCGCGCGCACACACACACACACACCCCACTCTCAACCCCTCTGCTCCTTAGCACTCATCTTCTAATGTAATACATAATTTACTTATTATTTTTACCATTTATTATTGTCTCTGCCTGCTCAAGAATAGCTTCCAATAGGGCAGGGGTCTTTGCATGTTTTCTTCACTGATGTGTCCCGAGGGTGGGCCATTCCATGGATGCCTGGTATATAGCAAGAGCTAGTAAAATATTCCTTGGATGAAAGAATGAATGAGTTAATGGGCTGTAGGAAGCTCTGAGGATGAAGCTTGTGAAGCCACGGGCTGTGGAGTTTGGGGCTTCTTGGGGGTAGAATTTAGGAGGCCCACAGTGGCTTCTATCAGCTGTGCTGAGGAGAGAGGAGCCAGGCAAATTGCCCACTCCCAGCCTTCTCGGGGAGGAAAGGTAGGCAGCAGCGTCGGTGGGGATTGCGCTAACTCAAGATGCCAGCTCCATGCCGCTCTGGGGCTGGCCAGCGCTCTGGATGTCATTAGCTGATTTGTTCTGCTCTGCAGAATGTACTTTTCATATTTAGGCAGAAAAAACAGCTTTCGATCCTTGTGCCCTTTCTGCTGTGAGCTGTAGCACATGGCCTGCTTATTATGAATTAATCCTCTAAAGAGCATGTTCATTCTTCTAATTTAATTGTGCTTCGTTTCAGAAAATAACTAAACCCAGTGCGGAATAAACTCCAATGCTGATCGGTTTTCAAGACGTTAACCTAAGACAAAACACTGCTAGAGGGCAGCAGCAATTTGGAATCATTAAAGGGAACCCATGTAAATAATAAAAACAAAACTAAAATGCAGAATTAAATTAAGGAATAGGAAATTAAATTTGGGAATCTAATCTAAAATTGAGGCCTTATATGCCCAGGCTTACCCTGGCTTGGCTCTTCACTCAGGAGTGCCCAGGAGAGGAGGTTCTGCAGAGGTTCCCACGACCGGGGAAGCGGCAGCCCCTCCTGGGTGACAGTTTGCTGCTCTGGGAAGAGAGATGTGGGCTGAAGTGGGAGAAAGGGGACTTTCCTCCCACAGGGTCAACTGTGATGAAGACGAAAGCCACACTGTCACAGCTGCATCTGGATGGCTCGTCCTGAGCCCTGGTGACCGGTTCAGGAGAACTGCCTGCAGCCAAGAGTCCCAGCTGCCACTCACTAAGAGGAAGCGCAGGAAATGAGGCAGATGGTGCTGAGTGGCTGCTAGCCTGAGATGCTGGGAGTGGTCAGCCCTGGGCAAAGAAGCCGCACCAGCCCTCCTTCACCTTTGGGCCCTGGGCACCCTCCCACAGGTGACCCAGCTCAAGACAGAGGCTGAGGGAGTTTCCTCCTGCCCCGGCAATGGCCCCTAAGCAGAGTCCTGGCCTCCCCACCACCACCGTGAGAGCCCAGTTCCAGATGGAGGAGCCCCAGACTCCAGCATCACCATGGCAGGTCAGGCCTCCCCCAGGCAAAATGAGAAAGGGAAGATGGGAAGGATGGGGGCTGGGGATGAGAAGAGAGCCAAATTATAAAGTGTCTGCAAGTCAGATCACTCAGGGGCAGAGTTAGCACCTTGGCTCAGGCTTCATTATGTATTGATTTTTTAGACCCTGTCCCTGGGGTAGTCTCTCTTTTTTCTCTCCATATTTGTACCTCCTCTGGCTCTCTTCCTCTCTTTCTCCCACCTCCCTCCTCAAAGTGAAAAGAGATCAGCCTTCTGAGTCAGACAGACAGATTTGGAGCCACAGTTCTTCCTCTTACTTGGTACTAGAGCTTCAACAAACTATCTTGCCTTCCTTGACCTCAGTTTCCTCATATGCAATGCTAATAATATCTGCCTCCTTGGTTTGGGCTAAATGCAAGAAAGCACCTGGCACAGAGCAGGCACTCAGGCACTTCTGCTTTTTCATTCTCTGTTTCACCAGTGATTCTTTACACGCCACTCTCTACACACACATGCACACACGTGCACACGTGTGCACACACAGGCTCCGCAGGCTCCATCCTCTGCCAAAGGCCTTAGACTGTGTTTCTAGAGCACCACAAGTAGTTAGAAAAAAAAAAAAAAAAGTCCAGTCAATCAAATGCAATCAACTGCTTGCTTTGATTCACAAAGGCAAACATTCAAACAGACAGCCATATCCCAGTATCAAAGTGAAGTTTTCCATTGCCATTTTCATTTGGAGTTCTACATGGATAAATTAGCCACCTTAAAATAGATCTCTTTTTTGAAAAAAGAAGAGAATACAAACAAGCAAAAAAATAATAATAATCACTTGTTCTCATTTAATTCACATTTTGATCAAGAAACTGATGCACAAAATTGAGGCCACAATGTTGATTGGTCAGTTAAACAGTGATTGCGTCTAAAACTATCCAAGATGGAGACCACAAGGACAAAAAAGGCTAAGAGTTCTGTCTTGAATTCCCTGGCTACTTTGCTAACTGCCTGCAGACAGCATGCTAGTCTCTTGCCTGTCTCCTGATTTATACCCATAAATTAAGGCACTGTGTGGCACAACCAATCTCGGTTCTCCCAGAACAAACCCAGAAACCTCAGAGAAGCCACCTGGTGTGGATCCAAAATCCGTGGAAGATCCACCTTCAATGTCAATAGAAAAGAAGCAGGAGAGCCACACCCTGGCCTGAAGCTACTAGGGAGAAGGAAGGGTTACCCTGAAGGTGAGGACCAGGGCCAGGTAAGCCACAAGGTTGGCCTACACTTGGGTCCAGGGGCAAATACTGGAAAATGACCCCTCAGCCTTTAAAAGTTAAAAAGGTATGCAAATTTCTTAGACAAGTAAAACTCTTAACAGAAGACTTATCCAGGGAGCCCCACCTGTTGAGGAACTCAGTTGATGGGGGGTTAATTTCTAGAAGGTTGGAGTAAGTGTGGTCAGTTAAATGGTATTATGGACCGCACATTTCTATCCCCCGAAATTCATATGTTGAAACCCTAATTCCAAATAGGATGATATTAGGAGGTGGGGCCTTTGGGAGGTGATTCGGTTTAAATGAGGTCATGAGGATAGAGCTCCCATGATGGCACTAGTGACCTTACAAGAAGAGAAAGAGACTAGAGTCATTTGAGGACACAGAGAAAAGACAGCCATCTGTCTTCTCTCCAGGAAGAGGACCCTCACCATCTGGAGGTGCTGGTGCCTTGATCTTGGACTTCCTAGCTTCCAAAACTGTGAGAAACAAGTGTTTGTTGTTTAAACCACCCAGTTTATGGTATTCTGTTGTAGCAGCCTGAACTGATAAAGACAAATGGTTTCTGTATTTCTGATCTTCAGTGAAAACCTCCGTTTCCAGAATATGAAACTGCCTGCCTGGGAGGGCTTTTGTGTGGAGGCAGTTTCCCCATTTTACCATGAAGCCTCAAGTCGTGTCTACCCAACAGAAGAGCTTTCAAGGTGGCTACACTTGAGAGGGAAATTAATTTGTTTCCCTAAAACAACTAAATTCCCTTCCATCTTAAGTCCATATAGCTTGAGTGTGTGCAACCCATCCAACCAAGGATCCTTTCCCCATTGGTAACTCTAATATTATTGCTGATAACACTAGTGAAAATAGTCAACATTCATTGAGAGCTTACTTGATGCCACACATTTGTTCTAAATGCTTCATAAGAATTATTTCATTTAATCCTTACAACAACCATATGAGGTAGACATTATTGTCCCCATTCTATAGATGAGGAAACTGAGGCCCAGAAAACAGAGCAGCTAGCCCATTATAACAACAAAACACAGCAGCACCAGGGTTTGAACCTAGGCGATGCCCCAGATTCTGGAGTCTCCTCACCACTAAACAGCACTCCCTGTTGGTCACCAACTCCCCCCATCCACACATCTATCCATAGTGACCCTAAATATAGGCCACATGGAAAAGAGAGTTCACCAGGCCTTTGGGAACTCATATCTGGAAGGCAGCCTTGTGTTTACAAAATGCCTTCCCACGGCTTTTCTTCCCTGGTCCTTGTGGAACATGGTGGCTAGGTCTTCAAGGTCATCCTTGCCTTTCAGCAAATGCTGTGTCCTGGGCTCTGTGGGGTGTATGGTATAGAGACAAGACCATGCTTTATTCTGTCTCATGGATTAACTTCTCACAGCCCATAAGGGCAACACAAGCTTGGCACCCAGCAGAACATTCCTGGAGGAAACAGCCTTGTCAGTGTACAGGTACTCATTTAAATTCCAGACCCTGGTTTTTAAGACACACATCTGCAGTGGGCATATGTAGTGATAGATGAAAACAGAAATGGTTTTCCACTGTTTCTGTATTATTAGATGTGACCTACTATCGAAAGAGCAAAGAAAGAGTGGAAAATTAAAGGTGATTTGATATTAGCCTCCTATTCATATTAGAAAAAGTAACTGCTCTTGCGGTTTTCCTCACAGAGGTGT